ATCTATGATTTCGAATGGACGGGGAAAACTGTCTTCAGGATACCTGGACCAAACGAAGTTGATTATGGGGTTGAGTCACGGGAAATCAGATCTGCATTAACTGATTTTAAGTACACGGGATCTGAAAAGCGGGGGAATGAAAGTGTGTACATGGCAGGACCCGGTAGTCTTGAGGTCATTTTCCTTGAGGACAACCAAGCAACCATTCGAATCCTTGAGAGTGGTAGGTCACCGTCATTTAGGCACACTGACAAAACCCAAAGATTGAATTTGTCATGGTTGTCTGAACAGTTCAAACGAAAACATTTCAGACTTGTCTATGTTGGTTCATCGCTTCAAGCGGCAGACATCCTCACCAAGCCTTTTACCAACTCCGAGAAGTGGGAATCAGCTCTGCGATTGATGGGTATTTCATCACAGCCCCTTCCACGGAAGGAGCCACAGAAGATGAAAGCCTGCGCAGGGGAACCTGCACCTTCAACAGTGTCGGGATCTCAGCAACGCGCAGGGGAACCTGCTTGCCCTTCAGTGGCGTCTCATAGCAGGGTACTTATTGAATTTTGTTGTGGACCTGATTCAAAGCTTGGTGATCGTTCAAGGAAGCATTCAAAAGATTGTTATGTCGTCAGATGCACAGAGGAAAGAGATGTTACATCTAGGCCGAACAGAATGGACATTCGGAATGAAGTTGTTCAAGCAATTGAGAGTTCAACTGTACAACCTTGTCCAGTTTTAATTTGGATTAGCATTCCCTGCACTGGTGGCACAACATGGTCATATGTGAACTTGCAACATGAATCAGCCAAACTCAAAGTTGAATATCACCGACATGTTTTTGAAAAGATATGGTCATCAATGGTCGATTTTCTCAATCTTATTCGTCATTTGAGTCCCAAGATTGCAATTGAATGGCCAGCCCATTGCATCTACTGGAAGTTTGACCGAGTTGAAAAGTTTTGTGGAAAACATCAGCTCATTAGAGTCACATTTGATGGATGCATGGTTGGTATTGTCAACAAAGAAGGTGAGTCTATAAAGAAACCATGGGCTATTTTAACCGATTGTGGTTCAATTGTCACTGCATTTGATGGATTGTCATGTGATGGTAGTCATAACCACGTTCAAGGCAGAGGTCATGACTTGAAGGAAACTGAGTCGTATTCCTTTCAGATGACGGACATGATCCATCGAGCTTTCATTGCAGCGACCAGCTCAAAACCCGAACCGACGACTTCTATTGCACTCTGCGCTGTTTCGCTTTCTACATCATCTACCATGGCTTACTTTCGTCGCTTTCCACAAGCAGAGGTCGAGGAGGCAGACTATTCCGCTGCTGCGGATAAGTTACTTTAATGGCATTTGGGTCCAATTTTGTGGCTTCTGGGTCCAAGATTTGGGCATTCTCAAGCCAGTACACTGCACAAACAATGTGTGACACAAAGCTGTCATACTGTAGCATGTGAAAGCTGTCACAAAGCAACCAAGACATGCCACCATGTCAAAGCTGCTACCTTGTAGCAGGCATGCTGCCATGTCAAAGCTGTCACAAAGCAACCAAGATATGCCACCATGTCAAAGCTGTCACCTTGTAGCAAGGGTGCTGCCATGTCAAAGCTGTCACAAAGCAACCAAGACATGCCACCATGTCAAAGCTATCACACAGCAAAGGCATGCTGCCATCTTGGCAGTATTACCTTGTAGCAAGCTTCCATGCTAAAGCTTTCACAAAGAGAAAAAAAATACCAGCAAAAAAATGGTCCAAACCAGGTCCAAAAGGTGGGAAAGCATATACATATACACATACATAGTATATAAATTTCCTCTACCGGGTTTCCTGACCAAGCCCCGCCCGCCCATGCCTTAACAAGGCATCAAGGAACCTACTCCGGTTATGTTTTTGATCCTCGGCATTTAAGGATGCAGGGAGGTGGCCCCATAAATATATATATATATAGTTTTGATATTTGAACACATTGATATGTGGGTTAAAAAGTGTTACCCCGAAATCCAGGCAGCGGCCCTGGGTGAGATAGATGATGGCACAGATGGCACCTGAGCCCGCAGGGGCCCAGAGAGAGAGAGAGAGAGGCAGAGAGATTTGTAATATAATATCTATATATATATATACATTTACATATACCTATCTTATACCCCAAAAAATAAATAGGAACAATATGAATATATATATATATATTATATATATATGTATAAACATGTATTGGTTCTTAGAACTCGATGGGTTCTATCCAACTTGATGGGGTTTTGGTTGTATTGATTCTTAATCAAAATTTGGGATAATTCGGGGTTTACAATGGCAAGTTACTATAGGTTTACAACCTTTGTGGATGGGTATGCAATACCTTTTGTTTAAGTGGGTCTATTTTTATCGGTAAGTATCTATTGTCCCTTTCATGGGTTGATTTCCCTTTGATATCCATCCCTTCGATTGTTTGTTTTTATCTATCTCTTTGATTATTTTTATCCATCCCTTTGGTGGTTTATATCCATCCCTTTGGTGGTTTACATCCATCCCTTTGATGGTTTTTATACACCATTTGGTGGTTTATATCCATCCCTTTTTGGTGGTTTTACATCCATCCCTTTGATGGTGGGTTTATGGAATCCATTTGATGGGTATATATGTTTATCAATTCTATCTTGAGTAGGTAGGCGAACCCCCTTTCGAAATTGTTTTTATTATAATTCTACATCCCCTTTTTTTGTGGATGTATGCCCATCCGTGTATTCCCATTTTTTGTTGATGGATCATAGATTTAAATGGATTCATCCAAGGAGCGGACAACTCCAATTTGGGTCCCGGAACGATGTGAAGGCCAGGCCAGGCCTTTGCGCGGGACCAAAATCCCCCCCCAAAAAAAAAGTTTCCCAATTTGAAAATAATTAGTTAAAAAATGCTGATAAGGATTTGTTTGCTTTGAAACAATGATGTGGCAACTATGTCATACTTGGTGAACCTTGCATAATGTGGCAACAGTTTTTCCCTTGGCACCCCTTGGCTCTCCATGTCAAAGCTGCTACATGGCACGTGTGCCAACACTCAAGAGTCATCGCAGGTAAAATTTCTATGACACACCCCCATGTAGGATTTGGGCATGTACCCAAAATAACACATGCACCTACAAATGGGAATGGAAGAAAACCTGCCCCTATATAGTGGAACCCGATGCTGACAGAAAATATATCAAATCAACCACACAAATTTGTTTCAAAACAATCCACACGAACAATGAACAAATTTAAAACATTGAACAAACAGGTATCACAGCAAGATTCCAATTTAGGTTTGGGTTCCTGTGCGGGAGGCCATCATTTCAGCCCTCAAAGGACTGGCCATCCATGCCCTTAATGCTAGGTTTCGCCGCTCCACTGACTGGGGCATGCTGGAATTGGAAATCCAATCCCTCACAAAGTAGGTACGGGCTTCATCCAAGCTCTGGAAATTGATGGCACGGAGAGGTTCGGATTGTCCAGCAGGTTGATCAGGTTGATCAGGTTGCTCAGGTTGCTCAGGCGGGGAGTTGCCAGGAAGCTGAGGTTGGTCCGGGCTTCCGGCATGCTGGGTCATTTCTGTCCTTGCCTTCTTGGGTACTCCTTTGGATTCCCACTTCTGGTGCCATGCCCTGGATGATGCTCGCTTCTTATGCAACAGTGCCCTTGCATGGTGAGTCAACCCGGCTTCGTCGATGCGAGGTCTGGCCGCCCTGCGGGCGGGCGCAACTGGTGGGTGGTTCTCCTCAGGCTGGTTCTCCTCAAACTGGCTCTCCTCAGGCTGGTTCTCCTCACTGTCAGGTTGGTTCTCCTCAGGCTCAGAAGCAACAGTCTCAGGGCTCTTTGGAACCATCATGTCGGGGATGTCACCATCGTCCATCATGTCGGGGATGTCACCGCCAAAAGGCTTGGGGATGGCACCACCATCAGGCTTGGGGATGTCACCACCATCATCAGGCTCGGGGATGTCACCACCATCAGGCTTGGGGATGTCACCACCATCAGGCTTGGGGATGTCACCACCATCAGGCTTGGGGATGTCACCACCATCAGGCTTGAAGATGGGGATGTGGTCCATAGTGTCATGAGGTCCAAACCAAAACTCCACAGGTTCTTGGTCCTGATTGTCTTGGGCATCTTGGAACTGCTCGTTGGGAGGGTAGGAATCATCCGTAATCTCAATCAACTCGGAGGCGGCATCAAGTTCTGTTTTTGCAGGGGTGGCCACATCTCCCGAAGGTTTGTCCTTCTGCTCCTCGTCAGAAGGCCTGAGCGTGAGCTAATCAGCAGAACAACCAAGTAGCAAATTGTTTAGGGGGTATTATTGAAAAGGTGGCTGGGAATCTTATCAATAAAAAAAATAGGTCTTGTTTACATCGAGGTGCATAGTCTCTGCGGGACCGGTATCTACAGGGGGGGCCATAGAGGTTGTGGAAGAGGTCAACAGGAATGTGGTTGCTGGACGTACCACATCATGAATCACTGCAAACTTTGGTGCTGTGGAGGCTTCTGGTACCTTCATGAAGTTCATGTTTGTGGGAACAAGTTCATAGTCCAACAGGTTCCCGTCTTCCAGCACAATCTGTGAAAACGAACTTGACATAGCCCAAAAGCACCAAGGCTGCACGAGCCCAGGAAAACTATAAAATGAAACTTGTTGATCCTAAACAGCATGCAGATCATTATATACGTGCAGTCAATTCACACAGATATACCGAGATCAACTTGTTCCAAGTAAACCTCATTCATGTCTTTACTTATCTCTGCAACATGCTGTATGTAGCATATGGGAAGCAGGTCTATTTTCCCCCCCAGGGTCTTGTGCGGTGTCTGCTGGAATGAATCTCCATGCAGCAAAAGATCATCTAGATCAAAGTCACAACGAGACGTCGTGCTGGTTTCAGATCCCAAATTGTCTAAGACTTTTGGATGGTCATCCCGGTTTGTTGGGATTCCAAACTCAAAATTGAAATCGAGGTTGTCTCTTGGTTCTACACAACCCTTTTGGCAGCTCCTTTCGCCAACTTGAGCTCCCCCGGCAAGTACCACAAAGGCTTGGCAGCAGCAATGACCTTCTCGGTCGGATACTTCCTCAGCCTCCAAACCTGAGTAGGCCAAACACAGAAGAGGCACAGGGGGAACCCTGAAAACATTAAAATTTCCAACAATTGGTATGTAAGAAAGGTATCTTGAAAAGATGCTGAAGGAAAATTCTTGCTTTTTGTCACAAATTTATTTCCAAAAAACACATTCGAGGGGGCTTTTCTCCAAGGCATCAGCTGAAAAGTGGGATGCACAATTCACTCCTTTCAGCTGTTTGTGGGAAATCGCTGTGGCACGCCAAACAAGAGGGTTGCCATTCTCAGGAATAATCTCAAACATGTCATCTGCTTTCCCCTGGGTCACCGATGGGGGTCTTGAGCAAGCGTGGCCACCCAAGGAGTAGTCAATGAATCCACCCTTTTCGATCTTCTGCAAAGCCTCCCGCAACGAAAGCACAGGTGAATCACCTGACTCCTCCTGAACAGATTGAAGGGAGAAGAGGGATGGAATATTGTATTCAAAAGGTGTCAGGTATTGTATTATATATACATACATTTATAGGGATATGAAAAAACAAACATGCTTCGACCAAAAAACGGCAGGGATAACACACACATGTTTTTGAAACATGCTGTCCTCAATGCAAACCAAGACTTCATCAGACTGCCATTGGCATAGGAAACCTTTTCCTGGGCTGTTCGTCAAAAACTTGGTCGCCTTGTCCCCCAAGAGCCATGTGCCAGGTCCATGAGAAATCAAGGGCTGAGAAATTTCCAGATTCACAGCATCCTTTCCAACCACGTACAAAGCAGGTCCCGGCGCCACAACCAAAAGTAAGCCTCCAACATGTCCAGGAAGTTCAGTAAGTTGGTCAGCCCCATGCTTCTTCTTCACATCCTCATAGGTGGAAGGTTCATCACAGAAAACCTTCGACCAATCAAAGGTTTCATCTTCCTCCTTGGTCTCAACCTTGACTCCATTGGGGTTCTCGGAGCTGGTAGGATCTCTCTTCACAGGGCTGGGGCGAGGTTCTTGCAATGCAGCAGACCATTGCTTGTCAAAAGATGCCAGGAGCTCCCTCCATTCAGGTCCAAAAACTGGACAGCTCAGGAAAAGAGACCTAACGTCCGGGGGGATGACCAACTTGTCGCTCTCAATCTTGCACACCTTGAGCTGCGGTGGGCCCTCTTGTTTGGGAAGGTCTTGTTCAGCTGGTTGGGCTTTGTATCTCGGGGTGTGTTTGTCCATGGGGCAACGTCCAGACTTCCAGGCCTACCAGGGAAATAAATAGCAGGCAGGGAAAAACAGCATACCATGTTAACGGAACCATTTTTGAAAAAAACATCAAAGCAAAAAACATAAGAAGATCTTGGTGTAGAGTTTTATGTTTGAACTCTTCTTGCCTGAAGCAAGTAAGACTTGACAATCTCTTTGGAGCTCTTGTGGTGGCTGTCAACAAAGCTGGAACCGACCACCCAATGTCCAAGCTGCAAAGCCCCAAGCTCAACACACCCATCGTAGCTGGTCGGGTGCACCACGATAGCACCATGCGCAGACTTGACACCACCTTAGAAAATGTTACAGGCGGTCTATGGGATATCCCAGTTAATAACCATATGTTGTTCTCTCACTAGATGTTTGTGTCACCAGGTCAACTCAAAAAAGGCCCCCACTGAACAACGCAGTGAGCAGGTTCTTTGGTACCATGACCCCTCCACACCATTGAGCGGTTTCTTGATGGTCAGTCAGGTTTCGCCTCTGGTCATTTGAAAGTAGGCTCTCAGCACCTGTCCCGGGCACCACAAAGTCACGCTCATTGAGCGCTGAAGGGAACTGCGATGGCTGGAGGGATTGACGAAGCCACAGTGAACTTCCACAGAACCTAAAATATTGGTTTGGGAAAAGGACAAAACATCAAACACAAACCTGCAAAAATGTGTTATGGGAAAAATGCAAACAAAGATGTGGGATGGGAAAAATTGCAAACACAGAAAAGAACATAAACATGTGGTATGGGTAAAATGAAACTTTTGGGATGGAAAAAATCACTCCGAATTGGTTAGGACAGGAAGCTCATTGGTCCCAGACTCTGCCTCTGGTGTGCCCCTAACCTTTCGATGTGCTACACCCTTCCCAGGCAGGCTGACATCCATCACCCCCAAGTAGCAATGGAATGCACTTGGTGTCTCTCTGTTTTTGTGCAGCTCCTCTGTGTTGAGGTTCAAAGTGAAAGGGCGCAAAGCCACCCGAACAGCCTGGAGTTTGTCCTCCAATTTCCTTCCAAGGGCTGAGGAATTTGAACCACCCCTTTTTTGGAATCAATAATAATCCCATTTTAAAATATTTTAAATAGACAATTTTTCAAGGTGTGAAGTTGAAATTCCATATTTGTGGTCAAAAACATACTTTTCAACATTTTGCACCTCAGATCTTTTCGAAGGCAACCGCCAGAGTCGCTTCCCACCAAAAGCGGTGGGATCAGCACCAGAACCGAACCTTAGATAGGATTTGATAGAACATGTTGATATGAACATACGTTATATATATATAGGTGTGTATGTTATATACATATATATATATATAACATATGTGTGTGCGCAACCCTAAACCCTTCAAATGGTTTGACTAGTTTCATTGATTACATGTATAACAAATCACACTGATCAGTATCAACTTATTTGCAACCGAAGAAATTGTGTTTCACTTTGGGGGTGACTCAAATCAAATACCAAGGGACGGGTTGGGTTTCCACTGAGAATTCGTTCAGTGATGTTTCCCACCATGTTGATATCCATTTGGTTCAACACTCCGAGTTTGGTGCAGTCGATGTAGAGGACCACAAGCAAATCTCCAACTGCCACCTGGGGAGTACGGATGAACAATCATCAACATATTATTTAATGGGGTATGCACACTGGATTTGGTATAGATTCTTTTTATGGTTGACGAAGGCAGTAAACATTTGGGATGAACAATCATCAACATATTTAATGGGGTATGCACACTGGATTTGATATGGATTTTTTTAATGGTTGACGAAGGCAGTAAACATTTGGAAATAGTAGCCTTCTTGGAAAGTGCCAAATTCTTGGCCATGGTCAAAGCCGGGCCCTCCACTGGGCTCTTGTCAGCCGCGAGAAGCACCCGACAGGTCTTCTCCATGAAGTCTTCGCAAAGCCTTGGCAAAGGCGGGTATCAAACCGGGGAAAATCCAGGTTTGCCTTCTACATCATATTTTTGGGGAAACTTTAAAACACAGGGATAGCAAATAAAACATAGAATATGACCATAAGCTAGATACTGCCTCCCAATTTGGGTTTGTGCACGCTCATGCATCACCGTGACAACATGCCCACGGCGCTTGTTCTCATCATTCTTCGCGTGGTACGAGGTCATGCTAGACATGTCTTGCGCAATCTTTGCACGCAATTCCCTGTACTTCGCCTGGTGCGCTTGATCCTCCAGCTCCATCAGTTCTGCTGCAGATGATGGAGCTGCAACAGGGGCAGCGGGGGGATCACACAGATCTGTCCACAGTCCAAAGTGGGAGAGCTTCCAAGTTGGCAACTTGCTGGCAATGATGGCTTCAACATCACTCTTGTAGTCCCTTAGTTCTTGGAAATGTGTTTAAATGGATGTCAGCTCAAGTACCCCACTCTTCAGTTGACAAACTCTGAAAAAGGTGTAAAAATGAAAAGTAAGATGAAAGTAAAGCCAGCTACTTCTGGTAGAACGATTTCATCACAGCTTCTTCCTTGTCCGATGTCCATGTTGACAACTGGCGCGCCTCTGTGAGCACAGCTGAGTAAAAGCACGCGTAGTCAGCGGCAGCCTCAAACCCATCACAGGACAGCCGAACACGAGATCTGGCCGAAGGCCGCAACCGCCGACCATCTTCGATGAACTGGTTTACAACCCACTTCAAGTGCATCACCTGGCTCTGCGGTGTCACACAAAGAACTTTCCGCAACTCCGAAGGGCACTGATTGGCCTTTGGCTGAGATCCCACCATCCATCGTGATGATCTAAGTTGTTCCGTATTGATGGCAGCTTCCTTCCATTTGTGCCGGTCGAGATGCGCTCTCAACACTTCGCGTGCTTCCTTGGCTAGTGCGCATAGGAATATATATATATATATATATATGGTTTTTATTTTATAACAATATATACATCACAAATAAATAATAGAATGTGTTGAATAAATATAATAATTGAAACTATATACATATACAATCTTGGGGATTATCTATATCCAACCTGTGTGGAATTCATAAATAACTGGTCTTATAGGTTAAAAGTATCTACCAAGACCACCAACCATCTTTTTTTGGTGTCAAGTGCTTTTGGGATGAGAATCCTATCAATCTAACTTAAGAGTAGTAGGCTTTAAGATATTTTTGGGTTTTCTCCCAAAAAGGTTTGATCAAATACATTCCCTTTGAATCCCAGGATCAGGGCATGACCCACCGATAAGGTTGAGGATGGATTTCACCTTATCCTCATCCATCATGTTTTTGGTGGCCAACCCTGGAAACTCATGGAAGTCGCTGATGATCGCCCGGAGGCGGTCCTCTGTGCTCATGCTGGCAGCGTGGCGGCCTTCGGATTCAGCGAGCTCCATCAGGCGGGAGAATCTGAGGGCCAACTGAAGGCAATTTGGCGGTTGCCTTTCTGCACCCCTGTAGGAGACCACCAAATTTCTGAATGAACGAGATGTGGCATCCATTCCAAACTCCATCTTAGTTCAAATGTCAGTTTACTTGTCAAAGAAAATCAATAGAACCCATCTTTATACCCTTGAATACCTTTAACAAAGTATGAACACCCGAAAAAAGATATCACATATTATCAAATCAAAAATGTTCATACCATTATTGTGGAGCCAAAAAACATGGCATGGGAGAGCCCAGCATTTATCCAGAACCTTGTGGAGGGGTTTCAGCTTGTCAGCTGTTGCTGGATCACAATGGTCAAGTTCGGTGCATGCAATCAGGATCAAAGCAATGACACTTGCCCTTGTCCAACCCTTGATCTGTTCGACGGTTTGGAAACCACAAGACCATGGACCTTCAAGGAAAACAGAGTTCCAAAACAATTCAATCCATAGCATAGGGTGAAACATATTTCTTTTGTGTTCCCAGCCCTAAATTTTAGAGATACTGGCCTCCATTTCCAGACATGGTGCAATCCAAGGGTTCTCGGTTCAACTCTATGCCAGCGAAAAACATGGATTCAAATGTTGTGATCCAGTCCTCCATCACTGGTAGGCCGTCCACCGGCTTGTCAAACCTTGGCACGAATCGATGTGTGGAATCCAAGATCTGTTCATTGAGACTGGGTGGATAAATTTGGGGATAGTTGGGAATAGTTTGTCCAATGGGATTCAAGATAAACTGGGTGGATAAACTTGGGATAAACTTGTTCATCTTCTCATGGGATAATTTTGAATATACCAATGAGTGACAGTTGAGATTCTGACCGGAGACACACCAGGGGAATCTTGATGGTCTCGTCATGCATCGAAGCATCAATTGCCTTGGCAACTGAATTTCAAACCGGTATTTCAAACTTAAAGATATTTATCATCCTACATTGGCAAAAGAAAATATCCAATTTGTGAATATTTGGTAAGGTGCAAATCCCGGGTTCTTGAACAGATTCGGTAACCCTCGAGAAGTGGCATATTCTTGGTACCATGTTTGAATCTGAAGACAATGCAGCTTTCGATTCTCTTCATCTTGAGATCCAAGAATGTCAAGCACTATCTGGGCTGGATGAGCTGTTGCATCACTGGCATCATCCTTCCGGAAGGACATGACATAGTCCACAATGTCCTGGATAAGGGTTAGAATATGTTAGAATTAGAATCATATTGATGGGAATTGATGGGACATATTTCATGGTACCCATATGAATGATATTTGATGAATCCCCCAACCACTATTTGTTTGGATAACCAGCGGGTCCCGCACGTGGGTGAGATCTCCGCTGGCCATCTTCCCAATCTTCTTTTCAAATGCTGAGCATGGTCTCTTCGCAGGTGTGTTGTCATCTCCTGCGAGGAGCGCCTTTTGTTCCTCGAGCTTCAACTTGAAGGGCTGGGCCATGTTGAGTTGGCAGAACCCAGCTTGATAGGAAAACCGCTGGGAGAATCAAGTATCAAATGAATGTCACAAACCTTCAAAATGTCCATTCAACATCACTTAGTGCATCGAACCCAAATCAAAATTGTAGATATATTGTCAATCGATTCTACCTGCCCCAGTGCATCGACTCAAATTGGAAAAAAAACTATGCAATCATTTTTTTTTTGGTGGAAAAAAAATTGATCCCATGAAAATTTAACAATTTGAGTCAATGCACTCAACCTGCCAGAGACAATCGAAAAAAAATAATGAATCTCATTTTAAAATCAATCGACAAAACCTTGTTTTCCAGGGTTTTGGTGGAAATCAGATATGCCCCAAAGCTGGTTTGATTCCAAGAAAAGATTAGATTTCCCAAACAAAGATTAGATTTCCCAGGATTGAAGGGTATGGACTGGTATTGAGGGGATTGGCTGGCTCTTCAAAGTCAATGCACTCGACAGCCCCCAGTGCATCGAAAATTTTTGTGGGGAACACTAAGTGCATCGAAAAATGTTGTCGGATCACCCCAAGTGCATCGAAAAGAAATGTTGGATCACCCTAAGTGCATCGAAAAAAAATGTTGGATCACCCCAAGTGCATCGAAAAATGTTGTCGGATCACCCCAAGTGCATCGAAAAATGTTGTCGGATCCCCCAAGAACATCGAAAAATGTTGTCGGATCCCCCAAGTGCATCGAAAAAAATGTTGGATCACCCCAAGTGCATCGAAAAATGTTGTCGGATCCCCCAAGTGCATCGAAAAATGTTGTCGGATCCCCCAAGTGCATCGAAAAATGTTGTCGGATCCTCCAAGTTTTTGGGAATCCCTCAAGTATATGCTAATATATAGTTAAGTTTACCTGGAGAATTGATTGAAAACCCCCCGAAAATAGGAAAGAAGATTGTGGCTTCTTGAGTTGGGCCCCCATGGAACTTTGATTTGTGGAATGAAAAGTTAATGAGACCTGTGGCTAGTCACCTGTAATAGTCCATGTGAATGGGGTTCCACTTAATCTCTTGGGTTCACACCCGTGAGGAAATTAGGGAATGTTACATGTTGAGAAACCTTTTCCATTTTTGGGGGGGAGCCCTGTTCAATACAATCCCACATTTGTTTATTTGATGGTGGTTTTCCTGAGACCCGACCCAACCGGTTCTGTTTTTCCATGTTGTCATCGGTGACGGTTGCCTCCAAAAACAGCCTTGAGTGGCATAGCTGGTGCCAAGGAATTTAGTACTGCCGGGTGCAATACCAGTGGAGCAGCATGGGCATTGCCCTGGGCTGGGGGCCCTGAATGCCATGGGAGTGGTTTCAGCAGCCCGTTCTCCCAAAACCAGTTGGTAGACATTTTGTTCAAATAGTCCACAGCCTTTCCATATTTCTCCCCATAGCAATAAGCCACTGCTTGGCTCAACTCCTTCCATTTTGCCCCCAGAGCTGGAGTGAAATTGTTTCCTTTCCTTGTGGTATATGAATTTGGTACTTCAAAAATAACCCACATACTTTGGTAATGGATATTGATATTGATATTGTTTATGCACAGTCTTTTGAGGAAACCGAAGTGTTGCCAACAAAAGAAAAGCATCTTTGTAGCCGGCACCAAGTTGAAATTGGCCCCACGACCCTCTGTCATGACCAATAAGGGATCTTGGGCTAACTCAGAGCTGCTGATGTACTTTTTCACAAAACAAATCACATCCTGAGGTGATTCTGCACCTCTGTAGCTGCCGCTGTTGATGTTGGTCGCCAATGCAGGTGGCACATCTGAATGGGGCAGCGCAGATAGGATGGAGAGGGCGAGAGTGGTGGTATCTAGATTTCAAAACATGCTGACTAGTATCTAGTATAAAACTATATATATATATAAAAATAAAACTTCTATTTCTTCATGGGTCATGATTGACCAGCCTCGGCGCATCATGCTGAGAAAGAAATGGTTCCCAGTATCATCGCGAAGGAGCCCTCCTTCAAGTTTGATTCCCAAGCTCGGAAGGTGACCCCGCCAATCTCTGGTGCAATCTAATTTCTCAACCCGCAAACGTGTGCCAGATCCCACCCAATCTTTGATGGATGGCTTGGACAGTTCATCATGAACCACTGATACAACATCGTCAGCACTTTGGATGTTTTGTTCACAGCCCACTCGACGAGAGATTATTCCCCAAGCTTGATCTCAGTTGAGAAGATGATTCCAGAGAAAAGACACTATAAATAAGGTCTTTTGAAGGAACTTTGGAAAAAACAGTTGAAATAATAACAAATTAAAACCATTTTACCTTGTTTGGCCAAGGGTACCTATCCGACAATGTGTATGGCTTTTTCGGAGGCTGCAAAATGCAGCTGTTTTGAATCGGCCCTGGCATATCAATAAATTGAGGAATGTCAAGACATATTGATTCTTCGCCTCTCGAACGGTATTGTCAGCCTTATGTTGATCAAGGCTTCAGCTATCAATATCATCCCAATGATTATTCCTTTATTTGTGGTTCATTCATATTTGGGTGCAAATAGCCCCTAAAAAAGGGAAATAACATGAAATAACCATGTTTTAAAAAAGTCCTTTGTGTCTCTCATCCAGGCACGTTGAGCAGCAGACAAGTTGGTCGTGGTCTGCCATCCTCATCACAGATACGGAAGGCCTGGGCCCGATGAGGGCTTGATAGGAACATGTCAAATAGATTTCCTAGATATAGTAAGTTAAGGTTAGTTAGTTTATTGTGTCATCCAATATGATGTTGAGAAACTGCATGAATTTGTGGGAAAGAATCAGAAAACATCTGGTGGTGAATTTCAATCCAGTGACATCCTCAACAGTCTGTGTCAAAATTTCCAAGATGGCCGAACTGTCATGCGGAGCTTGTTCATCCATGATGAAGATATTGAGAGAATATCCAAAAGCCCATGCCCCATGAACTTTAACACGAGGGCGTTGGTACTTTGCCCTCAGGAGAATTTGTGGTTACAAAATCAAAAGATTTTTTTTTTAAACCAGCTTGTGGGAAACAAACCAGCTATGGTTCATAATAGGTGGGGAAACAAGTTCAAACTCTCATCCACAAGCTAGCTGCAACCCGGCGTTGTTGCGGAGTTCAGGTTCTCGTGGTAAGGAAAACTTGGACTGGTCAAGTCCATCTGTGCTAATGAGTAAAATTTCAGAATTTGGTTCACAAGACTCTGCTTGCAACCGCCAAATCACAGTTCGATCGCAGTACTGAGAGTGCAAGTGTGCACGATATTGCTTTAACACCACCAGTCTTCCTTCGAGGGTATTGTTCTTGTCCCCCAAAGCTTGCTTGAGGGCGAAACACACTTCACAGCTGGTAAACAAACTGCGACTCCGGAATCCCAAAATGTCCGACCACCGGCGCTTGTACACATCCAAAAAGGTTCCATACCTGAGACAGGCGCAGGTGTTTCCAGGAAATAAAAAATAGGAAATAGGATGAAATAGGTATATCCATCCAACACCCACACAACTACTTTGAGAAGAGGGTGAATGACCCGAAACTGTTAATTTCAAATATCAGCTAAAATGCGACACAGCATAGCCACCTAACATGGACTGTGTCGCCTTGTAGTGCTCATAGAGATCAGCTACAGTACCAGGGGGTAGAAACTTCTTGACCAAAACCTCACCAGGAAGTACACCTTTGCCTTTCACTTGTGTGGAACTCAGCCATTCTCGAAGCTCATCTTCGTTGTCTAGATCACTAGCCACTTCTTCATAGTTGCTATCCGCATCACTGTCGAGATCAGATTTGGGTTTACTGGCACGGCCTCTGCGAACAAACCTGATGGGAATGAACTGTGCTGGAGAAGAAACTTTATCACTCTATTGGTCAAAAAAATAGGGTCATAAATAACAATTAGATCTTTTCTTAACATATGTGATGTTGGGGTTTAAGAGCATTTTGATGAAACATAAAAGATCTATATAAATCAAAAGTAAGAAGCCTGTCTGGCAATGTCTCCGCTATGGAATCATAAGAGACTTGCAGAAAACCATCAGCGGTCCATGTGCCTGGTCTGGATCGATGTTCTTTTGACCCATACCTCAGGTCAGGTGTGCCCCCAGCACTTTTGCGAAGGCGGGCCTGCCCGATACCAAGCAGTGACGAGAGGCATTTTGCTCCAACTGGTTTTTCCAAAAGGCTCCAAGATACTGTGGTGCCAGATCCCGATGAAGATAAATACAACTGAGTTGATACAACATTTGGGCCACAAAAACATGCAGAATCAAATATTTTGTGGTAGCACAGGTTGGTTCCCTTTTTGTCTCAAAACCTGTAAGTAGATTTGGACACGTTTGAAACATGTTTTTTTTAATCATACAAAAATCTGATTGAAAATGCTGTGGGGCACCAGAGTATCTTGATCTCGCTTTCCCAAGCTCCAGAAATCTGACACAAATGTGGGAAAGTCCTTCGCGGAGGCAAACTGCTGGAAGCACACCTTCTTGGCACCTGAGGCCAGGGACTCGGTGATTTGAAATAGCACACAGTGGGGTATTTGCATCCTAACTAACACCTTAAAAGAAAATGTGTATGATAACAAAAGTCCATGGCACATCGGCACGAAGGTTTTTTAAATAGCGATTCCAATCTTTGGGGATCAGCACCACTCTTCTTGAAAGATCCACCACTGTCTTTTCTGATATACATCGCATTTGCCCCACGTTTGCTATTGTC